AGATAATTTTTAATTGTCATCTAAGAGAACAGCAAGAAGAAATCAAAGCAGACTTTATGAACGATGCAACATTGATGCAAAAAGATTAATTTCTAAGAAATAGTTAATTTAAGCGCTAAACTTTATGTCCCAAAACTAACACGGACAATTAATTTCCTCTGCAAACCGAATTACCAATTTTCTCGAAAAACCCAATGTTCCATGCTTGAAAATTCAAAATATTGTAATCATTGATTTCTAAACTAATTATTTCTTAAAAATTAGTCTGTTTTGATTTCTTCTTGCTGTTCTCTTAGATAACAATTAAAAATTATCTAGACAACGCTTCACATATGTTTTTCTTACTTGTCAAGAAGTAAAATTTCTTTAGTGAGGTTAACAATAATACTTAATAGAAGTATTTATTTACGTTATCTGTGTGAAAAAAATTTGAATAAAGTTCTACTATCAGCCAAAAAATCAGCCGATTTGAATTGAACCGAAGTGGAAATGTTTGAACTTTTTATCATAGTACTACTTATGAGCCACCTGTAGAGTATAGTATAAGATTCTTTTTATTGTTAAATGTTTCTAACATTGTTTAACGTTTTTACACGTCCTCCGAACATTCCAGACCGATCGATCTTACCAAAATAAGTAGAATAGTCACGCTCACTCAGACAAATTTTAAAAAGTTTCGAAAGCGATGAAGTTTTCATAAGACATGATCGATAAACAAGAGAAGTTAAAATTTTTAAAAAACTCACGGTGCTATTTACAGTGAAGAGCTGTGTGTGAATGAGAATGGTCTTTTAAAATGATATTACTCACTGTTCTTGTTTTCATGATTTATTTGTTCATTATCTTCACATTCTTCTAAATCAATTTCAACTAATACTGGTAGACACATTTCTGGATTATTTTCAATTCTATTTTTAATTTTAAATACTGAAAATGGTAATACTAACACTTCTTCTTCATCTTGTATCGTTGATATGTCTTCAATATCAATAGCTGTTTGATTTAATTTAATTGTATATTTTAATAAAACAGATACTTGAGTTAAAGTTTGTTGACTATTATCAGCAAATACTTGAGCAGTTTTACGATTTTTTGATGTTGATACAAATGATCGATTTAATACATGTTTTCCAATAATATAATCTTTTAAATCATTTTCGTTCATTAATAAACCACGATATGCAATACCTTTATATTGATATTTATGTAGATCTGGATGATTAATTAATAATGTAACAATATGTACTAAACAATTAATTAAACGATATCGTGTTCCTGAAGAAGAATAGGAAGATATATCAAAATAATCTAATATATATAATGCTAGATGTTTATT